CTAAACTGCTAGTAAAAATGCAAACTGGATAGCTTGAAGAAATTAAAACACTGATGCACACAAAAACACGTACACAACTACTGAGAAATACTCACAATAGTCAAACAGTAGAAACAAGCTAAGCAAGCATCAGTAGATGACTGGGTCTCCCACGTTAGAATTCATGCGTTGGAATATCAGTTGGTCTTAAAAAGCAATGAAGTACTGCCACATGCTACAATATGGCTGAACCTTGAGAAGACACCAGGTAAAAGAGGTTGGACACAAAAATATCGGATATAGCGTGGTTCCACATATGTCATTTATCCAAAAAAATTCACAGAAGGTGAAAGTAAACTAATAATAATTTGCAGGGATTGAGGGAGAGAGAATAAATGGAGTGTAGGTGTTCATGGAAAACAGTTTTTCTTTAGAGAGATGAAAATACTCTAAACTTTTATGGCAGTGATGTTTATACAACCCTGTAAGTATATAAAAATAGTACACTTAAAAGGGTGAATTTTATAATATGTGAATTGCACCTCAGTAAAGCTAGTATTTTCAAATTTACCCTATGGACATACAGGGCTATAAAATTCAAAATAATTCCAGAATGCTGCACATACAGTATATGTACAACAAAGCCACTCTTTTTTCACATTTATTTACCAGTCACCTGACTGACATCACCTTCTTCATTCTGAGCATAATTTCACTCAGAGAAAGGCGCTCCTAACGTTACCATATTAGAGGTGAGAAATGGAGGCTTAAAATATTAAAACCACAATCAAAGAGCCATTCTGACAGAAAGACCCAAATTCTTGTCTTGTGGACTGTCCTAGCTTACTGAAGCACTCAGTATATTTTGGCCATATTATTATAATTATGTCTATCTTCTTTAACACTCAGAGGCCTCTGCAGCACTAAGACTAAATGGCAGCTAATAATCAGTACCTGTCATTAAAACTGCACCTCTGCAAATTGTTTAAATAAAGACAAAAAAAGACCATGAAATCCACACTGCCTAAGTACCCCGCTGTTGGACCAGCCCCATTCAGGGCCTGGCACAGGGTGTGGAGGGAGGTGACACCAAGACGCACACCTTTCAGAGCAAGTCCAAACTAGAAGAGTACTAGGGTTCTCCTCCGCGGCTAACCCTGGGTTGATGGGTGGCATCTCTCTCCTCAAACTTCTTTGTAAATGCATTTCTTAGCCTTTTAACTGATTGGAAATGCTCCTTTAAAATATCAAAATCCAAGCACAGAAGGAAAAAGATGGGCCCGGTGTGGTGGTTGCACACTTGTAACCCCAGCGCTCTGTGAGACGGAGGCAGGGGGATCACAAGGTGAAGCCCAGCATGGGCAAGTCAGCAACTTACCAAGATGCTGTCTGGAAATAAAAAACAAAAAAGGGCTGGGAACATAGCTCAGCATGAAGTCCCTGTACAGGGAAGGGAAGATGGAGGGGAGGGGACGGGAGGGGAGAGACGCAGGCTTGCTCTCTGCTCCTTAACCTCATTTTTAGTGTCCAAAGGTTGCTCGCTGCAGGGGTTCCGAACAGTCCCCTCTCCACAGCTCTTCTCTTATTCAATAGCAGCAAACCCTGGCGATGGACCGGATGACAGACTACTTTCTAGGCTTCCAGATGAAGCCACAGGACTAAGGAGATGTCAGCAGTCCAGCGTGGTCTTTCCAGGGAAGCTTTTAAAGCAGGAAGGGGCAAAATGTGTCAGCCCTTTTGGCCATTCCTTCTTTTTGTGGTCTTTAAAATACACGATGCACAGAGCACAAGTGACCACCTTGGCCTTGAAGTAACCTTTAGGTGGCAACTGTCCACCAGAATGACAGACACACAGAAGAAACCTCCTTTTTGGTTGGCCATGGGACTACCGTACCGGCTTTGACTGCTTTTCCAGAAAACTGGAGAAATGCAATAAGCCACTATTCTCCTGAATCTTGAGTATATGTAGCCAAACATCATTCAAGTATATATCTAGTTATACAGTTCTATTTCACATGAATGTGTGCTTGCTTTGTAGTCTTGCTTCATTTGCGGGGCACGAAAGATAGAACCCAGGGCCTCATGTGTGACAGGCAAGCTCTCTTCCACTGAGCTACACCCCACAAAATGCCATCTATTAAAAGTAGATAGAGGAACACATCAAGTATTTTGCAACGTTCTCCTTTACTTTTCCACTGGAAAGCAACTCAAGGGCACTTTTCCACATAAATAAGCAAGGTCCTGTTTATTTTTAATGGATACCAAGTTTCCGTGGCAGGGACGCGCCAGCCTTCATGTCTATAATGTCCTTGCATTTCTTTGCCACTTTGTTTCAATCCCTTCTTCCTAATGTTCTTTTAAAAATCCATTTCTACTCAGTTCCAACTTCCTATGGCAGTGAGTTTTATTTTGTTTTCAGTGATGCAACTCTGGTTCCCAGCTTCCATTTGGGGAAACTATCAAGAAGCTCTTTGGGATCAGCATCCCTAGGGTGGGCACTGCAGCAGGTGCCATCTAACGGTGTCTGCCAGAGAGGACTTCTCTGGGGTTTGAACTTAGCTCTGGATGCCACAACGACCTGGGCTTCTGAGAAAGACAGCAAGCTGCTCACTGTTTCCTGCGCACAACCCAGGACTGCAAATGCAAAGAAGCTTCATGGAATTTTTAACCCAGGTACGTGCACGCAAAGCATATCTTCTTTGGACAAGCCACGGTATTGCTATTCATTGTCCACCAAAAAATATTAAATTTAAAGAAAAAGAAACTATTCAAGGGACTGTTGCCAGAGATAAGGCAAATTTTGAACCAACGATCTTGAAGATGACTGTGGGAATTAAAATTGCAGTTGTATGGGTAAAACAAGCCTCATATATTCAAACGCCAAAACCATGCTTCCAAGCAAGTTGCTGAAGCTTTTCATTTTAGAATAAAAAAATTTCCAGGAAGGAGGTTCTGCGGACTGCTTTTTCTGCTAAAGTACAATTACTTCTCTGTCCTTATCAGCCCTATGCAGAAACCTCCATTATTTTGAGCCACTTCTCAGTAAAATAATTAACCAGGCACACCGTACCTTAACAAACACTGTGTATGACAAATAAAATCTCATTTTTCATAGACATTCTTTGTGTGTGGTGAGCAGATGATATTAAAGCCCCTATAGCTTTGAATAAGAAAAGGCACTAGCCTTTCACATTAGCATTCAGAAAAGAAAAGAGAAGAGAGGAAAGGAAAAGAAAAAAAGCATAGTAAAGGGAGCTGCTTTCCAGTAACAGGGAGCCCTCCTAGTTTTCTGGGCATTTAGACGTAACCATGTGTACAAAGAGATATCTATTATGGGAAGATGGAGTCGTTCCAAGTATTTCTGGGGGAAAAAAAGGTTTAATTTAATTGCATGGCTCTAGGGGACTTTCACCAATTAGACATCTTTTCTGTATTCTCGAGGGATTTTCTTTTTTTTTTTTTTCCTTTTATTTTAGTCATGTATTCCTAGCTTCTGCCAAATACTCATTTGGTTAATAATGAAACCTTCAAGCCCACAGTAAGAAAGTTTGCCTGCTAAGGAGACAGTCATGATTCCTACCGTTCTTTACCACTGGGCTTTTCAGGCTCCATATTTTCTTTCATTTCGTGGCCGGCACCCTGGGTAGCCACCTCCAGATCAAAGACAGCAAACAGCTCTCTTTCCCGAATATTCACTAGGGAGAACTCTGAGTACTGGTGCCAATGCACTGCCAAAGCCCCAGCTTTCTGGCGTCTCCCTGATGATGGGAAGGCGCCTCAGATGCCACATTTGGTCGAAATCACCTGTCTTTATCCAGCGTGATTAGCAGAGGAGGAAGAAAACTCTGAACATGGCCAATCTTGAAATCTGACCTCATCAAACCTGAAGGAGGAGAATTCAGAAAGTTTGTTGTTGCTGCTGTTACCCTTTGTTATTGTTTCCCTTTTTTCCTTTAAAGTCTTGGTTCTCTTTGATGCAGGATTCTGGGACCGAGATCAGGGAAGAGTGATCCTTAATTAGAAGAGCAATCAAATTTAAGGCTTAAAATGTAGTGAGGGGGAAATGAATGCAGCATAATGGGCCGCAGCTCATAGGTCGGGACGGCGTTCGTACAGAGTTTGTAAAAAGTTGATCTATTTCTCAGTGTTTGGCCCTGAATCTGCAGTCAAGCCTTCAACTCAGCAAATGGAAAGCATGAGAAGCTCAGAATACAGCCTCTCACAGACACTGCTATAACTTCAGTAAGGATAAAAGGATAAGGTAAATGACCTTTTCAAAATAACAAGTTTTAAACGGTAACCGTATGCTGCACCGTGTCTGCCTGGTAGCTTTCAAAGAGGTCATAACACTCAGGAGTGGGAGCCTCAGCCCTGAACTTCAAACTTTGAACTTCGCATAAGCACAACTGCTTAACCTTCCTCCCGGGATATTAGGACCCCCTCTGCTTTACAGGGGAAGGAAGATTAAGTAAAAGGTTTGGATATCACAAAGCCAGATCGGCAGCAAAATATTCCCACCTTCTACTCACCTGTAGCCCTGAGTAGGTCACAATTATTAATGTATCTTAAAGTAATACATAAAAACTAACAAAAGCCAGCATTACCTGCTCTCTGGAGTATGTCAGTGGATGTTTACTTCCTGCATGAATCGGTTCAAAGAATGTATATTTGAAAACGAAATAAGTATTTTAAAGCTTGAGTTTAAAGAGAATTCATATTGACCCGTATGATAAATTTCTACATGTTTCCATAATATTCCTCTGTGCCCCATAATTAATCAGGGGACTAATTATGAAGGTTTTTAACCAATTAAGATAGCGGGATTCCACCTTCTCTTGCTAGTTGCTCAATGGTTTGTTGGTCTGTGTCTCACCCTTGGGGGAAATGCTTTCTTTCCAAGCAAGGACACTCATAATTAGACCTGCTATAAATAACCTGGACGTTCACAGCAATGCCACTTGCACTGTTTAACACCCGAGGAGGACATGAACTTCTGCTTGTGCCTCCACCCGCCAGTGACCATCACCCACTTAGGAACAGCCTCGAAAAAAAGTCCTGGCCAAAGGGCGAGTCTCCTGCTGAGAGCAAATTTCAACCAGCACCACAACGGAAAACCCGCTGAGAATGACAACAGCTGCCCTTTTCTCATTCTCTTGTTTGTCAGGTCTTGCTTTTTAATCAGAGGAAGACCGGTATCCATCAGTTTCAGCTGTGAGCCCAAGAGCATACAAATTGTCTTAATGAAAATTAGCTATTAAGAAAGCAACATGAGGTAGGAGGACAGGAAGATCAAAACTCCGGGAAACAACCAGAGGTGCACCTTGGCTTTGAGAATTAGAGCGAGGTGAGTCTGAAACCCTCTCCTTCTGTCACTGTGTAGCTCCCTGCTCTCCTCTTTGTGCTGTTTTCCTTATAGCTGCCCCACAGCCTGGTTAGAGACCAATAAGCATGTCACACCCTCGGTCCAGGAGCTGCTTCATGTTAGCACAGGTAACAAGTTTTCCTAAACCTGTACCAGGAGTTTAGCAGTTGCCTTTGATAAAGAGTGAAGAGTCATCACTTAGACCTTCAGAGGCCCAACGCATAGCTCAAAGCTGGATGAAAGGTGGCATCTTTGTCTTCATTTGAATCTGCCACTTTGTACCTTAAACTTCAGGTCAGATCCCTGCTCGGCTCTGCACATAGATAGACATGTTCATCACTTAAAAACCGTCTGTCTAACAATGGCCATGCAAGAAGCTTCATTATCCTGAATTTATCTAACCCTCTCAACCCCCTTCAAGACCAAGAGTAACTCAATGTGTTCAGATTTTCCAGGGACATCATAATCGACAGACCATCACTTACAACCTTTACAATGTCCTGTGCCAGGCCCCCAGGGTGGCACCCAGGAGTCTCCGAGGGTCATGGCCCTAAACCTGCCAGGAAGAGGGTCAGGCAGGCAGATCACCCCACGATCAGACTCCCAAGCTAAGAGAGAATAATTACCCCAGGACCAGAACCGAGTCCCCCACCCACTCAAGCAGGAGCAACCAATTTCTGATGGTGCCTCTAAGTCTTCAGAAAACCAAACCTGAGATAACCAAGACTGCTTAGTGTACATGCTGTTTTCCTTGTTCCTCCCCTATTTAAACCTGAGCCTTATTTCACTACACCTGAAGGTGGGTTGGGGAGGCCTGCTCTCCCGTGTCTTCCCAGTATAGATCTACTGAATGTCAAATTCCTTTCCTACTTCACCTTTTATTTTTCTTTGATCTTTGGGGAGAGTGGACAGATCGGCCATATTGGTGTGAAAAACACCTAAGTTGCATAAAAATTTAGCATGCAGCCAGAGAGGGACTGGCCCCTCAAGGAAGTCAGCACAGATAATAGACACCAGGACTGTGGCTGGAGGAGCATCTGAAGAAGACCAGGTCCAAGACAAAGACACAATGGCCAGGCCTATGTCCCTCACTAAGGGATAAACCATAACCTGAGATTAGACTGGAACAGCCCCACCTGATCCAGGAAGTCCAGGAAGGCATGCAGGTAGGAGACCAGAGGATCTGGACCCCCCACTTCCCCAAAATGCCTGTGTTCCTCCATGCATCCTTGCTGTGTGACTCATTTCCCTATTGGATCAATATTAGCTCAGTGTCTATTCAGTGCTTGTAATTCTATAGGTAGATTGTACTTTGACCCATGTTGTAACCCACACTGTGGCTGCTGTATAAATTACCCCGACAAAGGGCCTCCGTGGCCATTGCATTCGGGACCCTTCCTGGAAACCCAGGAGCTGTTCTTCTCCTTGTTTCTAATAAAACTCTCTTCACTTCTTCCTTTGGTTCCCGACTTCATTCTTCAATGTTGTGGGATAACTAACTCTGCACATTTGAGATCTAACAGGTCAGGAGAGTCATTTTTCCTATTTTATTGGGTCTCCCCAGAGTTAGTCCCCACTCCCACTGGAGGGGGGAATCTGATCAGAAAAGCAGAGCAGTTGGGTTGTATGTAGGAGCTCTAGGGTGAGTCTTGCTAATTGTCACTGTGTTCTACTGAGCATGCACTTGTTTATGTGAGCAAGTGGACCAGACTGACCATAGAGACAGAGGGGACAGGGGGAAAAGCCCTTACTGGGCCTCCACCTTTCCTTCTTCCTGCTGTAGTGTTAATGCCACACCTCCCGTCCATGTCAAACTTTGGCTGCACAATCTTCACCTCCCTCTTCTCCCTTCCTATGTCTTCCCTCTGTCCTCCCATTATGGAGGGCAGTGAAATGGAGTTTGATCTGAGTGGTGCTGGGAGTAGTGCCAAGGGGTGAGCACAGTATACCACTGCTAGCCCCGATTTCAAAACCCTTCAGTCCTGAGGCTCAGGGAATTCCAACTACGGCCAGACAACACCCAACTTTGGAAATGGAAGGGATTCTGCCTCTGATGTGCACTTTTTAAAATACCCTTATTTAGCCAGGCTTGGTGGCGCACACCTGTAATCCCAGCACTTGAGAGGCTGAGGCAAGAGGATCGCTGTGAATTCGAGACCAGCCTGACCTACATAGTGAGTTCCAGGTCAGTCTCAACTATATAGTGAGACACTGTCTCAAAAAATAAAATAAAATAAAAATACCCTTATTTAAGGAATTGCTGTAACCTTTCTATTTGGGCTTTTAAGTCAAGTGCATGCACAGATCTGGGGGGCAGCTTCTTCTAAACCACTTAATGGGTTTCCATTTTCAACACCACAATAGCTATGTGCAAACATGTAAGAGCTTTCTCCCCCAAGGCAATAGGAAAGAGAAGCTTCTCTGCTGTAATCATTCCTGCATGCAGCAAATATTTACTGAGCACCTATTCTGTGTGAGGCACACTTCCTTTGCTCTTCTAGGCCTAGAAGGGTCGCATTAGCCCAGATTCTTCGGCTTCCAACAAATGGGAGACCCCTCCAACCTTCCTCAAGAAAAGAAGAGCTTATCACCACAAGAGAGGAAGAGCCCAGGGAACTTCCTTACATGCAGAAGTGAAACAGAGTGGCACGAAGGACTAAATCTTAAGCCAGAAAGGTTTGTGGAAAAACACTGTTCTTCCTTCCTCTGTCTCACAGGGCATGTGTCACCCCCAGCTGCCTCTGTCTGGAGGCTTCCTGCACGATCTGCTGAGCCAGTATATGTTTGACTTAATTCATTAAGTTCTGCCTGGGAGATTATGGTGCAGTGGACAGTGTTGTGGGTGTGGAGACCAAGGACAAGAATTAGCAAAAGTAACCCGCATCTACGGAGCTTCATTCCAGCAGGAAAGACAGACATTCAACATCTAGGTACCACATTTCCTCCCAAATTAGACCTCACTGGAAAATAAGCCCTAGCACAATTTTCCAGGATCATAATACAACCCCTAACCCCCAAATAACCTCCAGGTAAGACCGTGAGCCAGGAAGACACATTTAGTACATCCACTGCAACACACAACAGACTGACGTACTGAATTGCAAAATAATATTCATATATGATTAAACACAAGTAAATAATATTATTTACCTTAATACTTGAGTGATAATATAAATCATAATTAAATACTTGCGAATTTGGCACCTCTGGATAAGAGGTAATGCCTATGTAAACAGATGAACTCGAGATTTATCGCCGAATGATCAACCGGAATACAGACACAGCACACAAACAATGTCCACACCTGATAAGGAACAGATGTGGTTGAGTCTACTATGAATCTTTGCAATTCAGTTTGTTGTGTACTTAATGCATTCATGTGAATAAGAGTTTTTTGAGTTTCGGTGCCTGTGATTTCTCATCACTTTTGCTGGGCCAGCCTTCTTACTGTCACCATTTTTGTTGTCACTCCCATCTCATTAAATTGTAAGTTGTTCATTAACATTTGATTTCGTGGAAACTTTGTGAAGCCTACGTAGCCAGAAGTCATGACTTGGGTGAGGAATGATGGGACAAAATCACTGACAGCTGTGTCACCGATGCACTAGGGGCAGGGTACAAGGACAAGAAGCGCTCGTTTCAGTCCTCTGCTGCTGGGAATGAGAGACTGTAGCCAATGGTTCAACAGAAATGGAGTCGCAAGAAATGCAGGCATGAATTCGGGGTTTGGAGAGTTAAGATGATGTTCCAGAAGCAGATGACGTGACTGTACTTGGGCAAATGTGGAATTCTGTATATAAATAAATGTAGGTTGTTATACATGAAAAATAAGACACCCCCTGAAAATAAGCCCTATTGCATCTTTGGAGTGAAATCTGATGTAAGACTTGGGTCTTATTTCAGAGAAATACAGTAGTGTGTCTTTGTCAACATCATTCAGCCAGAAAGCCAGGCAGTGGTGGGAGCAAGTTGAGCCATTCATGGGGAATGGAAACATTCTAAGTACAGGGTAAGTGCAAAGCCCCTTGTGGGAGAAGTTCAAGCCTGGCTGGGCCAGGTGCGCCACACTCCTGTCTTCTGAGAAAACTCGAAGACCTCTCTGAGGCTGAGCTAACTCGTCTAAGTGCGTAGAGGCTAGGTCCAACAGGCTGTATGAAAGTGCCATGTAATTAAATGCTCCTCCCCCATGGTTGTCCACACATAAGCTATATAAGCCTGTGCATTTCCTAAACAAAGCAGAAGCATTCCAGAAACCTCCCCCGAGTCTGCCTGGTGAATCCACGCCTTACCCTCACAGTTCGAACTCCTGAACAGAATTCTGCAGACCAAACAGCAGACGACAACAGCCCCTGAGGTGGGGGCACCTGCCACAATTAAGAAAAAAACAAAGCAAACCATAGAGTGAAAGGAAGAGCACAGGACACAAGACCAGAGAAAAAGCCAGAGGCATAATCATGCAAAACTTCAGAAGCCATGGGCATACCTATTCCATCCTGAGTCAAATGCAAGACCTGTAGTATTTGGGGCAGACAAGTGGCATGACCTACTTACAGCCTCAAAAACCACTTTGGCCAAAAGGGCAAAGGACGAAGGAAGCAAACAATTAGAAGGCTGCTGCATTAGTCCAGGTGATGATACATGAGCCTTAACTAAAATGGTAATGACGGGGCTACTAAAAACTCAACCTTGGAGGCTTTGGACATGGCGTGAACAGAAGTTTTCAAGGACCTACTCAAGGAATGAGAGGAGTCAAGGGCAATCCAAGGTCAACAGCCTGAGAAACAGGAAGGTCCCTGTCAGAGATTGAGTGGGGAGGGCGTATGAGGTGCACATTGGAGGGGTAGGTGAGGAGCTCCACTGCGATGTCTTCAGTCTCTTTGACAATGTCAAGGAAGAGGAAACAGAAGCGAGGCATCGAGAGCTCGTACGAGCAGAACTGCTGCAGGCCCAGGGGCCTTGCAGGACAGGTCTGCGCCCTGCAGAAGTTTGACCATACTCCACCCCAAGGACCAAAAGGTCCCACCCACAAGACTCTCCCCTGAGAATACGGAGTGAGGTGTTACTAAAGGCTTTCAGTCCAATTTTGCCACAGATAATCTGCAATTTCTAGAGCATAGCATCTCCTTGAAGCCAAAGCAAGGATTCATTCAAAGATAAAATAAAGCAAAATGGTTATTTCACAGTAGAGACCCAAATTCACAAATATAGTCATTGAATGCACCATGCATTTTCAAATGAACTGGTATAGCAACCCATTAAACAGCCCATTCCTTTTTTTTTAACCGAATCACAAGAGGATGGTGTTACAGCCTTAATGATACTGATTTAAGGAACAAGTCATTTACTTGAAAATATGACTTCAAGTCACATTCTAACTTGAAACTTTGACCTCTGTGGAGAATATATCTGTGCCTTTCTGTAGATATTAAAGAAATCTTGTCATCCTTTTATCTTCAGTGCTATAGAAATCACTAAATTATGCATCCCTAAAGGAGAATAAATCATTTCAATAAATTATGGATTGCTTGAAATTTTAAAGGCAATAATAGAAACAGAAGCAATACAGATTGTATTTTATAAGTGAAAAAATAATTAGATAGGATACTAATTAAATGCCTGGTGTCTTGGCATACTATGGGATAAATGCTTAATATCTAAAATATATTTCTTTTACTCTTCATAACCACCCCCTGACTTCTTCATATAGAAAAAAGTAGTCCAAGGTGCCAACACACAATAAAAACACAAGCTCGGCCATGGCACACATTAAAGAGTCAACCAAACTGACAATGGAGTCCTGATGTGTGGGTCTTACCTCAGTGAGCCTTGACACATGAGTTAACTCTGGTAAATCTCAACTTCCTGTTAAAGAAATGGAATCATGGCAGTCACTGCCAGGTAGGGTCATTGAGAATACCATGAGGTGATGCGTACAGGGTACTTAGCTCAGTACCTAGTCAAAAGTAAGGGCTTAATAAGTGGGATTGACTTAGCTCACACAGCCAGCTACAGTACACTGCAGGCCGGGTAGCTTAAAAACAACAAAAAACTGGTTATCACAGCTCTGGAGGCAGTGAAGTTCAAGATTAAGGCCCTGGCTGACTCAGTGTCTGCTGAGCTCAAATCTCCTGATTTCCAGATGCTATTCTTCTACCCTGGCAGTGCAGAAGGCAGGGGAGCTCACACAGGCCTCCTCTAGAGGGGTGCTTGTCCCATTTGTGAGGGTTCCCACCTCCCACTCCTGTGGCCTCTAAAGGCTCCAGCCCCTGATAGCATCACCTTGGGGTGACAAGTTTCAGCATCTACATATTGGGGCTCAAAAGCATTGGGTGCATTTCAGAGGCTTTGTAATCACAGTTAGGATCATTAGCTTTTTTTTTTTTTTTTTTTGGTACCAGCGATCGAACTGGAGTCGTTGCAGTTGCAAGGCAGGTGCCGGAACCACTGAGCTAAATCCCCGGCCCAGAATCATTAGCTCTTTACCATGCCCCCAACTCCTTCATCCCGATTATCAACACTGTAAGGCAAATCTGACTCTTCTCTTTCACTGGTAAAGAAATTAAAGCTCAGATATTAACTATATGTCCCAAAGTCACACAGTGGCTTCCGAATGATAAAACCGGCATTTAAACTAGACCTGTCCAACTTAAAAGATTTTATAATTCAAATTCAGGTTGTACCACTCCAGCATACAGAGAAGCTGATACTGCCTAGATCACGGTGCTTAAGGTTTGCATCAGGACTTAAACCTGCTATGGCATTACCTTGTTTCACACAACTCTTGCAATATAGCATGTGATTCTGAAGAGAATCCATACCTGTCTCTACTATTCAGGTAAAGAAACCACAGCCCGGTGAGGCCAAGAGAGTTAACCAAGTGCTAATAAACCTTGATAAGAGACAGTGCAAATTACAGTAATTAGCCAAGCACTTTGGACCGTGAAGCTCAGGATGAACAAGGTACTATTGGAATGAAATCAGCCCTGCTGATTCTTTAGAGAACTTGTACACAGCAACATGGTTTTCAAGTTCTCAACTAAAAAGATACTGACAGATGAATGCAGAGCAAAACTATGAATCCTGAGATATATTGTACTTACGAGTGAAAGCATAACTTTCCAGACACTTGATAATAGGAGAAGTTTTGAGCTCAGGAGACAGTCTGCAGAAACAGAATTGCTAATTTGCATTTGTGTGTGTGTGTGTGTGTGTGTGCGCGCGCACGTGTGGGGATCAAACTCATGACTTTGCATTTGCAAAGCAGGCGGCGGCACCACTGAGCGACACCCCTGTTTTAATTCAGTGCTACAGAATAAATGCAAAGATGCCAGAGAATTAATTAGTACTTTAGAAGTGGGTCTACTCCCGGGGCCAGTAATGGCAAAAACCTGTTAGAGCTTTCAGTGGCACAAAGAGTCTGCAGCAGCACGCAAGCCACTGGTTTGCCACCACTGAACCTAGGCATCCATTCTTTCAAAGCAACAACTAAATTCAACTTCTGTGTTTTCAGGCCTATTAAGAGAATCTTGACATTTAATCCATATAAAGTAATTAAATGAGCAAGTGAACATGAAGCTAATTTTTGCATCATTTATTAAGGACCAGGTTCTTGGGTCAGTGTTGGGCACACACTGGGTTAAATGTAAATTATGCTCCTCTCGTACTTAGGTCTTTTCATCTGCTGTAAATGGCTCTTTAAATGAGAGAATGCATGTGCGTGCACGTGCACACGCACTCACACACACACACACACACTCTCTCTCTCTCTCTCTCTCCTAAGAGGCAAGCACTTCAACAACACTGCTCAGTTCTTTGAGATTAAATTGGAATCTCAATTAGAATAAAATCAGTCCCCACATCACATCCAAGTTCATAGATTTTTTTTCCTACAGGAATTAAATATGTATCTGTAGCTGACAATGGTTTCTGCAATGCGTATTTAAATATAAGATCCTCTTTCCACTCTAACAGGATTATACAATCAGACACACTATTGCCCACCCAAGGAACTACATGTGGGGAAATGAAAATTTGGGAGATAGATTCTGAGGGGCCGTCTATCTTTAGCCTAAGGGTGCATGACACATGCACGCGAACATTTTACTATTATTCTCACTTTTGCTTCCCCAGTCCACCTCCAGCGCCAGAAGTAACTAGTGTCAGAAGGAGATGGATTTTGAGTCAGCTGGAGCATCTCCCAATTACCACAGCATCGCAGGACTGCATCAAAGCCTACTCTGGACACGGTGCCATCACCCGCCAGCACTGGCTGACTCCAGAAATCTGAGTACTCTGTGGCATCAGCCTACATTTCTTTAATGTTAGCACCTCCTCAGGAGGTACGAAACATGTTCACATTCAAATCACTGCATGGTCTCTTCAGTTGCACCATGCCCTCGTCCATTGTCAGGCAGTGAAAGAAATGGTTTTCTTCTCCATAAGTAAAGTCTGCACTGGATCAAGAGAACACAAGCTCACCACCCTACACATCTGTATGTGAATTGGCATCCGTAGGAAGTTTCCAGCAACCGCATGTCAAGGGAGAATTTAGCAATCCATATCATTGTGACCTATTGCGGTAGACAAGGACCATGTCCCACTCCAAAGACGTCTGAGTTCTAGTCCCAGAATGGGTGGAGATGTTACCACATGAGGCAGAAGGTGTTCTGCAGATGGGATTACATGAAGAATCATGAAAGGAGGAGGTTATCCTGGATTATCTCAGTGGCCCAATGCAAGCACAGTTATCCTTATTTGGACAGACAAGAAGGTCAGTAAGAGAAAAAGGAGATACGACCGTGGAAATAAAGGCTGGGGTGACACACTGTGACAATGAAGGAAGGGATCATGAGCCAGGCAATAAAGGCAACCTTAGAACCTGGAAAAAGCAACAAGTTAATTTTCTCATTGAAGCCTTCAGAAGGATTGCAGTCCTGGGGACATTTTGATTTCTTGTCATTGTTGCTAATGAATTGTTACTTGGCCCCTCCCCTTTTAATGGGCATCTATGTTATTTTGAATTTTCCATGATTACAAACCATGAGGCAATAGCTGCCCTTTTATATCTGCATTTTTTTTGCACATAGAATTTCCTTCTGACTTGTTTTTTTTCTCAATAGTGGAAATTAAGGGCCCAGGATTTGGCTCAGTGGTTCTGCCACATACCTTGATACTGGAAATTGAATTCAGGACCTTGCACTTGTCAGGCAGGTGTGACACCATTGAGCTACATCCCTGGCTCCAGGATCTCCTTGTAGATAAGTACATAAAACACCTCATAGAACACTCACTCTGAGACTCCTTTTACATTAAAGAATATACATAGCACATAATTGTGTTTCTAGAGACACTCATATTTATGCAATTTCCTAGAAACCATCTGTAATTGTATTAGGCATGCTGGCAGCAGTGGTCACGCCTAGGAAGGAACTCAAGGCCAGAGGACATTACCAAGAGGTATTAGCCTTGGCATTTGTTCGTCCTTTTTTAACTTCCCATGAGGAGAACGCACTATGCATTATTCACAAAATTAAAGATAATAATGAACTACTACAGTAGCATATGCTCATGGTGAGGAGTTTCAACAGGGTGGGACTTAAGGAAGAGTCAAGCACAGGCATAGGAGAGAAACATGGGGCTGCCGAGGAAGAACAGATGGTAAAAAATGCAGAGCAGAAGACAAGAGCAGCAGGACCAATTGTTCACGCAGTCCAGGGCTCTATCTGCAATGGAGACTCCAAAGAACTTATAATTGGAAGAGGGAGTTCGTTGTCCCTCTGAAAAATTAGATGGCAGCCAGTTTCCTTGAGATGTACTATGACTGCTGAATCCCTGAGTCTGTGGTGCACCAGCCAGCCCTCTGGAGAACAGGAATTCAACCTGACTTCCCCAAGCAACCCTTCTTTCAAGGTTTAGTGGCCTTCTAATTCCTGAAGACTGAGGTCAACCAACCTTGGAGGAAGGGTCCAAGAGCACAGATGTGGCTTGCTCCTTCGTCAGTGTCCCATTCCATGTGCCTGGCTTAGAGTTGGCCACAGACAGGCGTTTTGAACTGAATAAACCTCTCATCTCCATGACATGCAGCACACCGGCTTCCTTAACTTAAATCACTTTCCCCTATCTTCTTCATTATAGGTCAAAGTGTATATCTTTGTAAAAGAGCAAAGGCTCACTCAGTCCCTAAGTGTAGAAAAGTTTGGGGACCTCGCACCAAACACCGGAGTTCTGCGAAGTTCAACACGGAGCTGATGGACAAGTTAATTACAAACCTCAGATACACAGGTAGAGAGAATGTAATGACCAGTGGTCATTTCTCAGTAGGTTAAAAGAAGCAGAATCAAGAAGACAAAAAAAATATGTATATGTTATAACGAACTCAAAATTCAGAGCCTGAAGTCAGGTCTGTAGAGCACTCATTATTTGTGTAGTTTTAAAAAAGAAAAAGACAAAAGGATGGGAGGAAGGGAGGTAGAGGGAACATTTCCATAATTCAGCTGTTTTCAATTCATTTCAAACTATTCTGCATAAGCAAAGACGATATGGAAGACGTTTTCTGGAACTTGCTCTTTGTCATGTCAGGCAGAGCCTCATAGTATCCATTTCATTCGACTTGAACCTCTGAGAGACACCTTATTTCTCACTCACTTCTTGATGAAACTTCTCTCCTATTGCTGTTTCCTGACTGTCCTTCTATAGCAAAAGGAAAAAAAAAAAAAAAAAAAAAAAAAAAAAAAAAGAGCAAAACTTCTTGCAGAAAGCTGGTAGAGCTACGGTTACCAGGCAACACTTCACATGTGCTAAAATAACTTGAAGTTCTTCAGCAAAAGGCAAAAGAATATTTGAGATCCCATTAAGCTTTGCATTTTTAAAGCACACCTGAACCAAAGTTAGCAAGCAAAGAGTTTTGCTGCCATTTCTGGAATCCTCAGATTTCCTCTTCTGTCTGAAAGACTGAAGTGTGCCTGTGGACTCCCAGGGACTCTTGACATTCTGTGACAAGTGGAAAAGGCAAATTCTCATGCTCAGTACAGTACCGGGATGATGAGGGCTTTGCGGAATTATTCAGAATAACAACAAAAGACACAGAGGAAAATGTCAAATTGGCATCTGTCAAGCCAGAAAATGTGACTTCCCAGGGGAAACTCTGGAAGGAGCTCTGTATGTAAAGTCACAAGTCCGGCAGCAAGAAAGGTATGGCTGAGGACGGATGAAGGACTTGCTCAGGTAATCAGGGTCCCAAATCACCAGCTTCCTAGTTCATCTCTTGATTGCACCCCACGGTGAACAGCAAGCGCCGGAAGTTGGATATGGCCACTGCACTCCTTCAGAATAAGCAATCGCTGCCTCAAAATTCCACATAGGGGACAGCCCAAGGTCATTCAAACTAGGCAGTCAAATCTCTGTCTTTCCTGTATTAAAACATCTTTACAAAATAAAGGATCACAGCTTTTCCCCTTGTACAGTCTAAAGATTAATCATCTCCACCTCCAGAGATTTTTTTTCTTGTATTTATTCAAAATGCTACTCCTTGAAAATAAATCCATTTTCTTTTTCAAGTATGGCAATAAGCAACATCAGCTGTTTAAAAATCCCCTTCAGATATCTGGAAACATTTAACTAGTCAATTTGCAGCCCGCTGTTTTTCAACCCAAATAATCCAGTTTATCTTCTCTTCCTCTGACAGACCGATTCTCCAGCCCTTCGGTGACCCACTTCTGAATGGCTTCCACCTCTCCACTGTTTGTTGAGTGAATAAATGGAAGGAGGAATGATCAGTGGCAGCAAGACGGTGGTGTGGAAATGAATGTTTGGTTGTTTTTGCCTACAGCACATTAAAGCAAGTTTAAATCAATTTTCACATATAATCATTTTTGCTATCTTGAAATACTGTAAAAACTGGCAAGCTGGGTACCCAGCCACATTTGAGAAGCAGTCAATCCACTGCCATCAGTTAAGACTCTCTCCTTTATCACAATACTACCCAGTCAGTTTCATATTTGCAACTTGCCCCCCAATCTTTGAGTTTTTGACTCTTTGGGGTAAAGTCCACAACAATTATAGCTCACCTCTGAGCACCTACCATATGCTAGTCACCTAGAATTAATATGTGTCCACTGTCTACTAACTCTATCCCAACAGCCCTACTGTTTAAGTACCATGGTTGTTAGAGGAACTGAGGTTCAGGGATTTTGACAAAGGTTTTCTCAAGCAAAATCTTCATTTCCTCTACTCTGAGCCACCTCTTCCACCTGCAGGAGAGTGTGAGGCAGTTGTGTGGAAGTGAAAAGGATAGATGCACAAGGTAAATCAGGAACAGAGAGGTCCTGATGAGTAAGGAAAGAGAACAACTGAAGTAATTCCCACTGCTAGTTAGTCCATGGCCAGTTAAGTAGTGATGAGAACGGGATTCCATTTCCCAAACCCCAAAGTCAGTTACTGCCTGTAAATACTGACCTCTTTTAAGGTTACAAAGGAATTTAAGTGGCTTCTCTGTTCTCTACCTTGTAAAGTGGGATGTACCATTCCCATATGGCTCCTGAAGTTCAGGATTGTCATGAGCACTTCCTAGAAGGAAATGTTTGCTTATTTGCTTGTTTAGCTGCTTCATTCATTTAATTTTACCTACCTGTCAACAGGAGCTCAATGTATAAAGTAAATTTACATCTTGCTTAGAAAAGGCTAACCTAATGGCATTTAAATTCCCCAGGGAACTATGGATAACCTCCTGACACATTAGAAAAACATTTTCATTTAAGTTATCAGATATCTGTCACCTTTTCTGTTACTTTCTTTGGCTGAATCTTTTGCTAAGGATAGCGGAAATACTTGTATGAAGATGACCAAGTTAAACAAGTCCTCACTTCCCAAAACCTACCACAAGCAATGTGAAAGACTTTAATTGAACTCCTACTGCGCACCAGGCACTGTAGCATCCTAATTAATACAGCAGTTTTACGTAGTAACTGCTATCGCCATCCACATTTTAAAGATGAGTAAATATGAATTTCCAGGAACTAGGAGTCAACTCAACACCAATATGCAGGATGTGTGTGACGTGCTCTCAGAAGCGGCGCAACCTAGCTCCTGAGGCCATGGTGATGATGAACGAAAAGTATAGGAAAATGCTTGGCTCAGCATCAAGCACCCACCAAATACTTCATACATGGTAGTATCTACTGCTGCTGTATGTAGCTGTCGTTGGATTCTGGTGGCTTTGGTCATCCTCGGGCACAGATGCTTTTGCGTGTCTTGCTGAGCACAGCCGGCAGAGGTGTTGATCAAGCCAGGCTTGGTCAGCCTCCTCGTGGTTCATTCCCATCCTAACAGGGCCCTCTTTCAACTCTAGAGGCCCAGAAGTGCGATCAAGAGGAATTCCTTAGAGATAGGTCTGCCTCCCATGGTGGGAGACTGCTTCTGGGCCGTGGCACATATGGAGAGTGCTTCCGGGTCATCCAGCTGGGAGCGTTAGGTAGCCTTCCGGTTCCACGCAATTTGGGGACCTGTAAGTGAACTCAAGCAAAGCAGAGGAGAAGGGGCGGGGGAGGATTGACTGCATACTATACATTGGGAAGGAAAGACGTTCCTTTCCACACCAGTTAATAGCATCCTGTGCGGATCCTGTTTTGAAAGCCTCCATGACATTTTTCTTGATGTTTCAATGATATTTTCAATTTTTCAACTGAGTGATTATCATATAGTGATATTCATAGTATGCATCTCTGGCTGTACTTTAAAGTGATTAGCAGTAACCATGACTAGAAATTTAACATGAAATGGCTTAATCTCTCTTTAAATCTAAAAAACTAAAAATTGTACAAATGCAGAGTTTAAAATTTGGTCCTTAAAAATACTATGTATAAAATAATAATATTTATGCATAAAATAACATTTTATGTATAATAATACATTTTAGGATTATGTGAAGTATGACTCTTAGTGAGCATCTGTGGACAGAAAATCAGTCCCTTCTCCAGTGAGCTTGCCTCATCCAGGAAAGGGAAGAAAAAAGAACCCACAGCAAAACCAACAAAAATAAAGGTGAATATCTTTGCTTATCGTGGTGCAAATAAACAAAGAATGCAAGCCAAAGCAAAGGTGCATTGGTATTTTCAAAAGTGTCCATACTGTGGTCTGAAAGCCACGCATGGACATTTTCAGATCTTTGTGGAACTGGACAGTACTAGTGCACTGGCCACAGTGGGAGGCACCTTCAGGAGAGCTGGGGATGGGGCAGAGTGAGGTGACACACAGACTATCCTAGAAGGAAATTTCTCTCAGTGATTAAAGACAGATCTTCACCAGCATGCATTTTCAACATACAGAATTTAATTAAGAGCAAGTGCAGAAGAGAAAAAGGAGAATATGCTGGTCTACAATAAATGTTCATGTCACCATCTTGCTTTAAAATCTTCCATGTGTATTCTTTTCTTTTCCTTTTATTGGGCGGGGTACTGGGGATCAAACTCAGGACCTTGCGCTTGCAAGGCAGGCAGCAGAACCACTGAGCTAAATCCCCAGCCCCAAATCTTTTATGTATTCTTGCTTTGTACATGTTAAGGACTCAACATACTCTCCCCATTGGCCTACCATCACACGGAAATATATTGAAATTTTCCCTTTGTCCACAGGCTTTTCCTACACTGGACCTGCATAGCTCTCCGGAATCAGATCTGCACACACCTTCACCGTCAGCCTGCCCACCTCCCTACTCACACTCTCCCCTCCAAATCTATTCTCTGAATTTATTATGCTTCATTATATCTCCAGGCCTTTGTCTGGGGATCGCCTTCACCTAGAACAGTCTGTTCCAAGACAGAATGTGGAGAAATGAAGAAAAAAAAATTAAAACTTTTATTTGTGTGTAGGAATGTGGGTGCATGCATGTGCTTGTGGAGATGTATTTGGAATAAATAAGAGAACAAGTTTCAGTACAATACATTTTTGATATATGGATTGATAACACAAGTACATTTGGACGGTTAAAAAATAAAGATACTGGGAACTTAAATAGCTTAACTGAATGAATTATGAAATCAAAAATATTTAAATAGTAAGGATCTAATACACTGTCTCTTACAACTCTACTTGTATTAGTCAACTTTTCTTTGCTGGGACCAAATACTGGACATACGTAACTTAAAGGAGGAAGATTTTAATTTTGTTCATGGTTTGAGTGAATTCAGTCCATGGTCAGCTGGCTCCAAGACAGGAACATCATGGTGCCAGGGCGCAGCGGAGCAAAACTGCTTCGTTCATGGTGTCCGGGAAGCAGAGCAGGGAGCAGCAACAGAGAACAGGGACAGTAATAACAGATGCCAGGGTCATCACTGAGACACGCAGAAGTGTGCTTTAATAATCCCCTAGGCAGCTCCAAAGTCTAACAAATTAAAAACTAAACTTAACCATCAGACCATCTCAATTCAACTTTGCCTAGGTAAGTCCCCTTCACCACACTCTTCCTCCAAGTTGTACTGACCTTCCAAAGCAGGACTGGTTGCATCATTCACAGCTTTCTGTGAACATCTTTGCTCCTTCATATGCACTCTCTGCTTAGCAACCCATGGTAACTTACTCATATCTCTTCTCCTTAAAACCCTCCAATGAATCTCAGTGTACCTAAGATGTTTCTATACTCTTCGCCACAGACTATAAATTCCCCATAAGATTTGGCCCAACAGAGCTCTCCAATGTCACGTGACTGTCCTCTTTGGTCTCCAGGTTGTCACTCCAGTGGCCTTGCTGATGTGTTCTCAACCACAGGAAGCCAAATATTGCCCTACACTCTTTGTCTCATACTGTCTTCTACACCAAATGGCTGCCACCTGATCTTTGCTCTGCTGGTTCCTTCTTCACATATGGGTTCGGCATTTCCTGACCTCTCAATCAAAGCAGATACTGAGTTGCTCAAGACCTGTGATGTCCATTATGGACCCATCAGGCACATGAAGCTCGATACAGAGCCAGACCAATGGGGGAAAAAATCTATGGGATCTGTGTTGTTTTTCTTTCAAGACAAAAGATGTTAATGTATGAGTTGCTTTTTCTAAGCTAAAACCTCAGTATTCAGGTTTAACTGCACTGTGGACACTGCAATAAATAAGTGGGTCTTGAGTTGCACTCTTCTCTGAAAGGTTCACCTTCACTGATCTAGACCAAAGTGACTTGTGCATTAAGTATTAAATATTCAATAGATTTATAAAAATATTATAAAATTTTCTATTAATAATTTTTCCATATTGGAATGAAAATGTTTTGGCTATACTGGATTAAATGAAATGTTATTAAAGTTTAATTTCATCAATTTAACTTTACTTTTTAAAAGTGGCTTCTAGGAAATTTAAAACTGCATATGTGAAACCAGCACTCCAAAAAATTTTAAACAATATCCTAGGAAAAGACAATGAGGATCACTACCCCAGGAAGTCCAGCAGAATGAATCCATTAGGCAGGACAAGAAATTAAATGTGAAAGGGGAGAATCCAACAAAAAGAAAAAGTCATGACAAGGATAAGTCAATACACATCCATTATAACCATCAATGTTAATGGTCTCAATTCACCAATCAAAAGAAATAGACTAGCAGAATGAGTTAAGAAGCAAGATCCAACAACACACTGCCTACAAGAAACATGCTTAATTCAAAAAGAAACTCATAGACTGAAAGTTAAAGGGTAGAAAACAATACTCCATGCAACAGGAACCCCCCAAAAAGCAGGAGTAGCTCTCCTCCTTGTAGATCAAATGGATTTCAAACCACCACTGATTAAGAGAGAAAAAGAAGGACACTACATCCTTATAAAGGGAAAAATCCAAGAGGAAGAGA